TTCCCAAACCAATCAAAATGATTCAAGCCATACCTGGTGCTAGAATGAGGTCACTTTAATTTTTCTTTTTGTATGAAATTGGAAATGCAACAGGAGGGAATCACACACAGGACATAGGACATAGACCCCTAGGGCCTACCCTTGGGGATATTAGGAAGAAAGGAGGGTCATGGGGGACGGCTGGAGAGAGAAAAGAGGCAGGCAGGACTGGGGCGGGATTGTCTGGAGATGGAGGGAGCTGAGGAAGGATCCAGGAGCCCTGGAGTTAGGGGAGAGGCACCATCCCAGAGGACTAGGGTATCAGGACAGATGGATCTGAGGAAAGGATACCGGTGTGGTGAGTGAAGGGGATCCCCACACACAGCCGGAGTTGCAGAAGGAGCATGAAAGAGAAAGAAGTAATCAGGGAGGAAGCAAGAGAGACCTAGCTAGGGCTGCCAGGGCCCCCCTCATTCTTCCCCAAAGTGCACAACTCGGCAATAAATAGTAATATTTATAAATAAATAAGTAAATAAATAGATGAATAAATAAATACATACATAAATAAATAATATCCTTGTAGAGCTAGGAGTTTAGTGTGAGGGAGGAGGAACATGGTAAGAGCAGTGAGCTCCTTTTTTCTTCATAGGTCCTAGGGCCCCAGTCTACTGCTCACCCTGGGGGGTGGGCGGAGCGGGGTGGGGGGGGGGGGTAGTGGGGGAAGGGCAGAAAGCCTGAAGGTGGTTTAGGTGGGGGTCTCTTCCCTTGCTGAAGGTAGCTTAAAGGAGGAAAAAAAATGTAATAAACAGTTCCTAGGACCAGGAGAGCTGAGCATTCCCAGAGGGCAATGATGGGGCACCCTCTGCAGTTGCAGGAGTAACTGGCATGGGTATGCACATTTTCGTGGTGGGCTGGGATGGGGGAGGCAGATGTGAGATCTGGCCCACCTATTCCTTGGGCTGACTATGGGGACATCATCCTCTACCCCAGGATCTTGGTTTCCCTTTCTCTGGCTGCACCCAGGGAGAGAGAAAATTGGGATGGTAGGGGTTGGTGGAAGCAGGGAGGGGGCCAAACAGAGCAGAGAGGGCAAGGCACTTACTACCAAGTAAGATCCAAGGTCTGGATGTGCTAAAGCTCAGTAACAAAACAGAAAACAGGAGGAGGTTTTCCATAATTTCAGCTACTGAGATTAGCTTCACAGGTATTATCTCGCCAGGCACCTCTGCCAAACTGGACTGAGATCTATAGGCAGAAGCTCACTCCACTACCCCACTCTGAGCCCAGCCTTCCCTCTTCCTGTTCTGCTGCCCACTCCCTACTATGGGCAGGAGAAGCTGGAAAGGGTGGAAAGAGGGTGGGAGATAGGAAGTTGGTCTGGGATCTCTAAAAACGTATACCTAGGGTAGAAGAGACAGCAGCCCATGAGAGAGTGGAGGGTGGGGCCCATTGGTGGCAGGCTTAGTAAATCCAGCAAGGGCTGTATACTGACCTCCCAGATACTTCAAACCAGCTGGGCCCCAACCACAAATGGTAGAAGGTGCCCATGAGGACAGCCCTGGGGTGCCTGGAATAGAAGGTCACCTTCGAAATCGGCAGGGGGTGGGGGTCACTCTGCCTGGGCCTGGGGCCTGAGGGACTCCATGCCAGGGTACAGGGCTCAGGAAGGAGCGATGGCTGTTCTACGCAATGGATGGTGAGAAGGGACCTAGCAAGGCCTGGAGAGGAGGGGCGCATGGAGGCCACTTCAGACGTCCAGCACGTGGTTCAGGTAGGAGATGTAGCAGATGGCCAGGCGAAGGATCTCAATCTTGGAGAGCTTCTTGTCGGGGGGCAGCGTGGGCAGCAGCTTGCGCAGCTCTGCGAAAGCCAGATTGAAGGCCTCCACGCGGATGCGCTCCCGTGTGGCGTGGGCCGTGCGGTACTTGGCTGTAGCCCGACGCCGGCGCCGCCGCTCCTCCCTGCTCAAGTGCTGCAGATCTTTCCGTCCAGGCTCTCCAGGCTCCAGGCCCCGGGTCTGGCCCCCTCCTGAACCCCCCGGCCCAGCCCCGTCAGGGCCCGCCCCGCCCCCACAGTCGCTGAAGCCTGACTCCGTCTCAGAGTGGGTGGGAGGCAGGTCCAGCTCCATGGCGTCTGAGTTGAGCATCATGATGGAAGCCCCCTGCCCTTTGAGATCAGGACCCCTTCCCCACCCCTCCCTCTGGGAGCCTGAAAGTTGGTTGTGGGAGGGGCAGGAAGGGCCTGGGCTGGTGGGGTCTGCCACTGAGCTCAAGAAGTCAGAGCTACTTCAGGGTTCCATGGTCAGGGTTCCAGTCAGGAGCCTGAAAGAGAGAAGGGGAAATTGATAGAGAGGAAGGAGGGACAGCTCAGAGATGGGGCAGGCATGAGGAAGGTTTGAGATAGGCTGGGAGGTGAGAGGTACTATAAATGTGGGGTGTGAAGGGTAGAAACAAGGCGGAGATAGGGGCAGCAGGAGAGATAAGCAGGTGGACAGTTGTAAAGGAGTCGGAGGAAAGATAATAAGGAAAAGAATCCAGAAAGTGAGCAACAGGGATGGAGAAGTGATGAGGAGGGCATGGGGAAGGATAAAACTGAGCAAGAGGATTAAAGATATAAATGTAAGACCTATAACTATGCAGCGCTTAGAGGAAAACACGAGGAGCAAGCTTCATGGCATTGGCTTTGGCGATGACTTCTTGACTATGACACCAAAAGCAGGGCAAAAATAGATAAATGAGGCTACATCAAGTTTAAAAACTTTTGTGCATCGAAAGACACAGTCAGCAGAGTGAAAAGGCAACCTACAGAATGGGAGAAAATATTTGCAAATCATATATTTAATAAAGGGTTAAAATCCAGAATATTATAAAGCAGTATAGCTCAAAACAAAGATCAAATGATTCCATTTAAAAATGGGCAAGGACTTGAATAGACATTTTTCCAAAGATGACATACAAATGGCCAACGAACATATGAAAAGAAGCTCAACATCATTAATCATCAGAGAAATGCAAATCAAAACCACAATGAGATATCACCTTACACCCATTAGAATGACTGCTATCAAAAACAGAAAATTCCTATTATTATATATGCGTATATATCTATCTGAATGTACCATACCATGAAATTTTGACAATAACTGAATAAAATTTCACTTTTGGAATTAAACACACACACACACACACACACACACACACACACACACAAATAACAAGTGTTTGGGATGTGGAGAAATTGGGACCCTTGTATCCTATTAGTGGGATTGTAAAATGGTACAACCACTATGGAAAACAGTGTAGCAGTATATATCCCAAAAGAACTGAAATTGGAAAAAAAAAATTCAAATCAGAATCTTGAAGAGGTATCTGCCATCCAATGTTCATTATAGCATTACTCACAATTGCCAAGATATGAGAACAGCTCAAAAGACCATCGACAGATGAATGGATAGAGTGGCATATACATATAATGGAATATTATTTAGCCTTAAAAGGGAAGGAAATCCTTCCACAAAGATGAACCTTGAGGATATTATGCTAAGTAAAATAAGCCAGTGACAAAAAGACATTGTACGATTCCACTTATTTGAGATATGTAAGTAGTCAACTTCATAAAAATGGGAAGCAGGATGGAGGTTCCCAGGGTCTAGGGGATTGGAGAAGGGAAGTAGTTGTTTCATGGATTGTAGATTTTTCGATTTGCAAGATGAAAAATTCGGTTTCATCTGCAAGATGAAAAAGATCTGTTTCACAACAATGCAGATATACTTAACACTACTGAACTGCAAACTTAAAATGGTAAATTTTATGTTGTGTTTTTTACCGCAATAAAAAAAATTTTTAATAATATAAAAAAAAGCGGTGGGAAGCCCCTGAGCAATACTGAAGCCACAGCTCCAAGGGAGTTTGGCTGTGACTCTAACCTTTCCCAGTTGTGAGGACAGAAATACAAGCCTTGGCCCCTCTGATCCCCTCCCTCCCAGGGCCCCACTCCACCCTTGCTATTTCTGTGTGACGGGGGAGGCCAGGATAAACATGCAGATTGCCCATTGTAGAGTGCACTGGGACATATGGAGCTTGGCACAGCTGCCCCAGCTCAGTCCCTCTCAGCCTACCGCCCACTCCCAGACACAACCACCGCAGACACTAGGTCCTACCACCCTGTCCACTAGAGTCAGGTGAAGATATCTCCTCTGGCTATAATTCCCCTGTTCAGAACCAGCTCTTTCCTCTATCTCTGTCCCCAACAACCTCAGTCCTTCTTCTGGCCCTTCCTCTGCAAGGAAGATTGAGGAAAGGGAACATAATCAGCTTTCCACTTTGAACCCTCCTACAGCCCAAGGCCAGTTCAGACAGGGCCTGCAGAGGAGGATGTGGATAGCTTCCTGAAACCACCATTACGGGGCTTGGCTAAGGTTTGCTTGTCCCTTAACCAGAGGAGGTTAAGGTGAGTCAGCAGGAGAACTGCCTGGGAAGCCTAGGGAAAGGGCTCTGCTTCGGAGGCTCTTAAGCAGGAACAGTGGGCCACCCCCTGTGAGCTCAGCCAACTTAACAGCCAGAAACAGAAGCACCGAGGCTCCTTCATAGTCGCCATCTCCCCTTCCTCACCAGTCCTGGTTCTCCTGCCTGACAGACATTCTCACAGGGGTCAGGACCCCCCAGCCTTGCCCCACCCCAATGCACAGAAGACAGGCTCAATTGTAGTCGACAAATAGTTACTAAGCTGGTGGGGGGGGGGGGCGGGGAGGCAGGCAGCACTGCAGGGTCATCAACATCTGACTGGCACATACACACAAAACCATAACAAAACAGAAGGTGGTTAGTCCCGAAATTAGAACACACTCCATATTCTGGGGTCCAAAGGAACAAGAGGGGATGGCAATAGTGTGGGAGGCCCCAAAGTCAACATCTTCTGGTACATGTTCAATGCCCCAACTCCCCACCCCTATGCTTCAGGAGTCCAGCTGTGGGTTTCTTAACATGTCTATCACAGACCGATTCTCCCTCTGTCTGGTCCCCATGTTCCTGCATCCCTGATGGCTTTTCTATGCCCTCCCTTCCCCTCCTATCTGCTCCCAATCTGACCCCTGGCCCATCTCCACCTGGCCCCACTGTCCTCCCCAGTTCTAGTCCTGGCACCAGCTTCCATTTACCCATCAAGTCCTCACCCCAAAATCCACTTCTGGTCTCAAAGTTCCAGGCTCCGAGGATCAGGGAGAGCAGCAATTCCAAGCATCCAGGACAGGACTTCCTGCCTCCACTTCTGTCATCCCCAACCCGACTGAGTCAAAGGGGAGAGGTGGGAAGAGGAAGGGGCAGGGCAGATAGACACAGCTCACTAGAGATAGAAGAACTAGAGGAAGGTTCTGGGAGGGGACTTGAGCCAGAGAGTGGGAGGGACACGGCCACCCCTCCCAGCCCATGGTTCCCTCTTTACCTAGGAGGACCCTGTGAGGGGATCCAAGCTGGCAGGACAGGGGCAGCGCTGACAGCCCCAGTCTTCTCTGGCTGCTCAGAAAACATCCATCTGCAAAGTTAGTGACCAGCTTTCTAGAGCTCTCAGGGGCAGCGTGGTGTGGCTGGACAGGCTCCGGGGCAGATGAGAGGGGCACACATGGTGGGGATATAGGGCCCAGGCAGAGGGGGTGGGCTTGGCCAGGTACTGGAGCCACCAGTACTCACACTCCCGAACACACTCACAGACATACACACCTGAGCTGGCCCAGCCCTATGTATATATATGGAGATACACACACACACCCCCAGCTCTCCATTGGCTGGCCTAGGCTCCCCCCCTCATCAATATTAAACAGGCAGGCCAGGCAGCCATTGGCAGAGAGACCTGCGAACCCTCCCGGGAGCTGGGGGCAGGGGCTGGCCCTGGGGGGGGGGGCAGGGAGTGGGGGAGCAGGGACATCTGTTCTCCATGCATATTTCATAAGCAAGAAATGGAGAGCTGGGGAAGGGGTGGGGCTGGGGCGAGAGCCAGGGCAGGATCACAGATGAACCCCTCAGTCTCTCCTACCAGAGGCAGCAGGAACAGAGACCTCTAGGAAGCCCGGTTTAAGTACCATGAGCCCATTCTGAGTCCCAGTATGACTTTGACAGCTCCTTCCCATGTTTCTTTTTCATGGGAAGAAGGCTCTCCAAGGTATTAACAGAGAAATCTAGAAAAGCACAAGTGGACAGCACTAAAACGAAGGACAGGACCCAAGAGTCCTTTCCCTCACCAAGCTCTCATCCTTCATAATGCTAATACCCAACAGTCTCCTTGCCAGGCTGCCTGTGGCTGCTGTTCAGGGCCCTGCTCTCATCACCCTGAGACTCAATCACTCCACATCCTCTTATGCCAGCTCCCATTCTCTCACCTACCCCATCACAGCGGGTGGGGGGCAGGATCAAATTCTTGACATAGATCCCACGAGGAGCTTTTCTAGGCTGCCCAGCCCAACCTGACCCATTGGGAATTAGGGGTCTTAGGAGGAAAGAAGTCAGGGCTAAAAGGAGCAAAGTGGAAGAGAGAGAAAGAACCAGTATTGGAAGGACACTGGGAGAGGAGGGCAGGGCAGCCCAGGCAGCTTCGCATATGCTGGGCCATCTAATGAGCAATAAGAAAATTACATAGAAAATTATATGCAAATGGCCATTAATTAAGTTTATATCAATAGCTCAGCTGCCTCCCTCCTGTGTGTGTGTGTATGTGTGTGTGTGTGTGCATGCGCACGCATGCACATACGTGCACATTGCAGAGTGGCAAGAGCTGGGACCAAGGGAAGTACAGAGAGGCAGCAGGACAGGTGTCAGTGTCTTAAGTTCTCTCCCCTACTCAGCTGTGGAATGTCTTCACTGAACCTTTGTGAGTACCTGGAACCATGGCTGGGAGGACTCCAGAGACCGTGTGCTACAGTGAAGAAGGCCCTTTTGGCTATGTGATCTCTAACAAGTAACGTAACTCCTTGAGCCTCAACTGTCCTTTTCTGTAAAATGAGGTTAATTCTAGCTGCTTCTTAGGTTGGCATGGAGATTAAATGAGATAATGCATGTGACCAGGGCCAGCACCTTAGTAGGACCATAAACTCCCTTCAGGCTGTTGGAGGCATTTGCCATTTCCCTGCTTTGATCAACCTATTCTGGGCTTTCTCCAGGGTGAGGCGTTCCCTAAGGGGAGTCCTGTGATTCTTCCCCAAGCTCTCCCACCCCTCCTCACTCCCAGGTCTGGGAGGTGCCAACTCCCACCTGGGCAGGCCCAGACAGGTGCCCAGGCGCCAGCAGATGGGCTGAGCTGGAGGGGAAAGGAGGCTTGAGGAGGGGGGTGGGGGGCAGGGGATCAGGTGGCATCTTAGTTCTTGCATCATCATTGCCATGGTGCTGATTAAAAACCAATCTCCATCTAATGAGCCCCCAGCTACAACAATTCTACCTCCCCCTCTTCTGCCCTCCACCCCATCCAAGAAATTGGGATACCAAGAGACTCAGGAGAGCGTGCCATGAAGGAGAGGAGAGATATGGACAAATGGGAGATGAAGAAGCAGAGGAAAAAGAACATGGAGAGAGATTAAGACCCAGAAAGAGAGGAAAAGATAAGAAAATAGTCACCGGATAACAGACATGGGGAAGACTTGTCACAGGGAGGTGGACATAGGGAATGGGGGGAAAGACAGGGGGGAGGGGGAGAAAGAGAGAGAGAGAGATTGAAATTGATTGATTGATTGATGATGGGAACAGAATTGCCAGGTTGCCAAGACTTTGTGGGAGACTCAGAGGTGCAAGATATGGTGGGGAGGCAGGGACATGGGAGAGACCTGAAAAGAGGAGACCATTAAGGAGACACAGACCTGAGCAAAATACAGATGTGGAAAAACACTGATGTTCAGGGATGGACAGATACTGATACTGGGAGAGAGTCCTGAGGAAAGCCCCAAGACAGGATAGAGACATGCAGACATGAGAGAGGCAGAGTGCAGACAGTTGTGAGGAACCAAAACAAACAAACAAACAAACAAACAAAAACCTAGACAAGATGTGGAGGCACGATAAACAGATCTATAGAGATGAGGGACTGCTGCTGATCCCAAAGAGTGAGACACTGAGGAAAACAAAAGCAGAACCCAGAGACACCCTAGCAACAGGAGGAAATCCTCTTCCCAATCTCCCTCCTTTTAGAACTTTTAGCTCAGATCCTTTGACCCTGCAACCTCCAGCCTTGAAGCACCCAGGTCATGCTGCCCACAGTACAAGCTGAGGTTTGATGGTAAAGGGGAGTCCAAGAGTGCTCCGGGACCACCTCTTTCTCCTCCTCACAAGTCTTCACTCAGGGATTTAGCTTTTGATCCTTAGGGGAGTAGCTAAAGAGAACATCATCTGATAAAGAGGAGCTAAAAGTATGGAGTGGTGAAAAGAACCACTAATTGTACTGAACTGGGGGCCAATAGACTGGGTCCAAGTCCTGATGACCTTGGACAAGTCACTTAACGTTGACTGAGTCTGCTTTTGTTATCTGTGAAGTGGGGATAATGTTGCCTTCCCAAAAGGGCTTTTGTTATACCATGTATAGGAAAGTCCCAGGTAAACTGTGAAGTGTTCACCCCAACTTTTACATTTGTGCACGGGGACCTTAAGGTGGCAAGAAGTTTCCTCCACGCGTATAGGGGGCATTATGATTAAGAGAGGCTGGGGAGGCTCTGAAGTCAGTTCAGGTTGACGGCAGCCCCGGTCAGCCAGGGGGAAGAACTCTGGAGTTTCGTGGGGGTCGTTGCTGTAAGGAGGGCAGGAGGAACAGGGTCTGGGGATGGGGTGATGCGGATGGCTCTATGGTTATCGTTATTTTGCTCTTTACAGGTGTTCTCTTTTTCAGCTTGGTACAATCTCTTTTCATCTCCGCACAGCCTTGAAGTAGATTGTTGGGGAGGGAGGTTGGTGTGTAGAGAAGACCCTGGGGCCTGGACGTAGTCCTCGAGGATGGGGGGAGGGACTGAGGAGCTGGGAAGCAGTGGGTTTGGCAGGAGAGGGGGTGACATATGCGGGGAGCCCTGGGGACCCAACCAGGCAAGCAGGCTGGCAGGGAGAGCACACAGCATTAACCCTTGCTGTGCCACACTGCCTGACCCTTCTTGAGGGTGGCCCATGGCTGGAGGTGCTGTGCTCTGGGTCACAGGAGCAAGGCGGGCAGGAAGAACCCATGTGTTCTTGGGGAGCAGCTTCAGGTCTTAGATCTTCTACAATCTTTGAGGTTCTTCCCTTGCCTGCTTCCACTGTCTCTGTCAATCTGTCTTTCTCTGTCTCCACCTCTCCATGCCTCTAGAAGGTGACAGCGGGTCTCCACTCTGGCTTACTACACAATCTGTCACTCTCTGCTGCCAGCCTGGCTGGAAGCTCCCCTTTTCAGTGCCGAGGCCCCTGAGCCCTCTTCTGCCCCTGGCCCCATAGGCCCTGCTGCCTTTGTCTCCTAAGGCAGCCTCCCCTTTCTTCTTTCCTCTCCACTCACCTCTTCTCAGCTCAGAGCCCATCTCCAATCCCATTATGGCCTCCAACCACTGCACACCCTCCCCCAGCCTCTCCTCTTCCCTCCCCCATCCATCTGTCTTCCCTGAAGCTCTCTTCTTTGTGTCCACCCATCTGTCACCAGCAGCTCTGGGCCCACTCCTCTCCAGGCCACACCCCCCTGGCCTTTCTTCCCTCAGGCTTGGTTCACTCCCAGCACTCCCAGCTTCTTTCTCCTCCTTTGGCCCTACTAGGTGTCCCTACTTCCTCTATCTCATTTCTAATTTGCTTTTTCCTGGTGCCTTCTTTCATGTTTTTCCTTTTTCCCCTCTAGTTTCTTCGACTTCTCTTCAGTTGATGGGACAGTGGGGGAAAGTGAGGACTCTAAGTTCCTAGCCCCAAGCCCCTGAGCAGCCAGCCAGCCTGGGCCAGAGGCTGGTAACATTTACTCACAGTTGCATCACCATCTCAGGCCTCCTGAGATGCCCCCTACACTTCTGCTCAAAGTTTTCACCGGCTGGGAACAGGGGTTACAGCTGCCCTTCTCCACAGCAGGCGTACGGGAGCTCCTCCACCTTCTGAGTGAGGATTCAGGAAGGAAGAAACATCCGACCTGAGGCCCATTTAGATTCTGACCTTGCAAGGGTCTCTGCTTCCCAAGAACTTTCCACAACTCCTACCAAGCTTATTTTGCAAATGGGATGCTGAATGACAGGCCTCTTTTCTATCGCATTAGGCCACAATCTCCCTAAATTCCTACTGTCTCTGGACCAGTGGACTACAAGTGCCCCTCAGGCTGCATTCTTTAGAATTGACCCCACAAACTTAGAAAGTTAATCAATTATCAACCTTTCAAATCAACCCTGCCCCGAGGAGTTTAAGATAAAAGGGAGAAAGAGAGGTCACACAGAACCAGACCTCATAGCCATAGCCAGGGCAGGGGGAACTAAGAGATCAGTCCCTGACTCCCCTTTGCTTAGATGAGAACACTGGGGCCCAAAAAGGGGAAGTGTCCTTTCTAAAGCCACACAGAACATCAGGATACACCAGGAAATCTGGCCTGAGCTCTTCCCACAATGGGAAACTCCTCCTTACTGGCCTCACTCAAACTCTCCACCCTCTGGACTTGGGTAGAACAGTTTACAGCGCTGATGTCGTTTTGCACAGATGTATGCTGCCTCGCCTGGTTTTCTTGTGTCATGTCTCATCCTGCCATCTAGACTTTAGGTCTTCAGTCTCTGAGAGAAGGTGGCCTATCTCCTACCCTTTTATACCAGGACAGTGCCTCACCCATAACCACACTCAATAAATGTTTATTACTACTGCAGCTGCCAGTGCGGATATAAGAAATGTTCTAATCTCAGCTCTAATTTGCTGTGTGACCTTAGGTGAGCCACACGAGCCATGTATATAATTTCTAAGGTCTTCTTATATGGTCCCTGGAATAAACAAAGTCCTACTGAATAGGGTGGGATCTTGGTATAGAACACCGAACTCTGAATGAAAAATGTCCTCCCAGGATGGGCATTTGGGAGCAGTGACCCAGATGTGGGAGACAAAAGAGTAAACTCTTCACTCAGAGAAGCTGGGGAGAGACGCTAGCTAATAGGAAAGTCATCAGTGTTGAGGAACAAGGTGTCAAAGGAGGTAGAGAGGCTGGGTCCTGGAGCAGGGTGATCCATTACTCAACTTTCTGCAGGGGCTTGGTGGGAGAGAGGGAGCAATGTGAGCTATCAGTGGGTCAAAGTAGGAAGGAAGGGAAGCCCTGTGGGAAAGGGAGGGACTGAGAGATAAATGTCAGAAGGCAGAGGTGAGCAAGCTAGAGGCAGGCTGAGGAGTTACACTCTGAGGCCCTGACATCCTACCAGCCATTTCCATGTGGTTTCTAGGGCACAGGCGGTACCTGGTGAGGAGCTGGACCACAGCCCCAGAAAGGAAGACCCAGTAGGTCATCTGGGGGCCTGTAATCCTTCTGCAGAGCCTGGCTTCCCAAAGAGCCATGAAAAGAGCCCCACTTTTTGGTTTTATATTTGGGTGTGTGTGTGAAGTGGGGAAGGCAGAAAACGAGCTTGTGTTGAGGATTCTTCCTGAGGCAAGGAGACTGGAGTATCAAAGGTCCTGCATCTTATAGCTTTCTTTCTTGCCCACCCCAAGCCCTTAATTCTGCCCACAACCTCTGCCTCCCTGTTCAGTCCCCTCACTGGTACCCAGCCACTTCCCTGCTTCCTGAAGCCGCTAGCAGGATGAGGGAGCTTAGTGCACTGTCCGCTGGGAGACCTGTTGGCCGAGGGAGGAGTGGAGTCAGCCCAGACGATGGTGGCAGCTGTGCTCGACTCCCGCCAGCACAGTACACAGCTTCTCTAGCTCAAATTGGGAGGGTGCAGTAAAAGGAAGCAGCAGGGTATATTTCCATTTCCCAGAACCCCAAACATGGCCCTGAGGGAACTTGGAAAGAAATCTGGAGGAAAACCACCTCCTCTCAAAAGGATTTGAAAAGGTAAACAGCCCAATCAGGAATCTAAGAGGAAGATTTGGGACTCTGAAAATGGCCAGTTCTTTTCCATCTCTGTGGTCCCCGGGCATGCAAGAGACAGCCTCTTGGCCACAGTGAGGGGAGAAGGCTGGCTTCAGCGCCACTCCTGCTGATTCTTCATTTAGCGGTGCTGCTATTCTCCAGAATTTTGCCTCCGTTAAGACCCAGGGAATTAAGAGTATCTCCAAAGAGCTGAGGTTCTCTTTCTAGAAGAGTCCCAAAACCACTCATTTTGGTCTATAAAATGCCCGCCATCAACAAAAGCCCACACTTCTCAGCATGCCGCCCAAGGGCCTTCATTACTTGGCTCTTGCTTCTCCTGATGACCCTTACAGTGCGGGCATATTGAGTAACTCCTCATTCCCCAATGTGACTGGTGCCTTCTCTTGGCTCTGTGCCTCCACACATGGTGACTCTAAAATCATACCTCCAATGCCTCCTCCTGTGTGCAACCTTTCTAAATGCCACCCCACTACCCCGAATTCCACTACGTGCTACCAGGACATCCTGGATATTCTGTAATTACTCTGTTTATCACACTGGATCACACCTAGTTGGGAGTGTATCTGTCCCTCCCCTCACCCCTATTTAAGGTCTGTATCCCCCCTCCATTTCTGTACTATCACCAGTGTATAAAAGTGAATAAAGAAATGTCTGCCAAATACCAAGGTGGAAAGAAACTCTGCTAACATCGTTCTTATGAGAAGGAAACCAGGACTCTGAGGGGGCAGAAGGAGCCATTCTTCTAGGACGCCAGCTGGTGTTGACAGAGCCTTATTTCCTGGGCCTCTGGAGTCCCAGAAGACAGCACGCGAGGTAACATTTCTGTAACTTCCAGTCCAGGGTCACTGAACAAGGGTGCCTGGGAAGTATAACAGGTCATGTGGGATAGTCTATTTTAATGAAAGTTGCTATTTATATATTTACACACACACACACACACACACACACACACAAAGGAAAAAGGAAACAACAAAAATAGATATTACAGCTTAATAAAAATGAGCACTGTGGGCTGGAGGTGGGATACCCACCCAGCAGCACACCTACCCTGATGTGCCATCTATGGGCCTGGAGACAGGATGTCAGAGGGAGACAGGAGGCTCAGCCCACAGATCACCCTGTCCTTCTCCTAAGGGCTTCCTTGTAGTTTGTTCCTGGCATTCAACCTTTCATGTCCTTCCTGGTCAGGAAGGTGTTTAGGTACAGGGGTGGGGCGGGGAGCAGAGAAAAGTACAGGGTAGAATGGAAAGCGTAGAAGAGGGATCCTGAAGAATGGTAAGTTAGGGTGGGCAACTAGGAGTTAAATAGGAGCAAAAAGCTTCTATTTGTCATCCCAGAGGCTGGCAGGGGCGAAGAAGAAGAAATGGGGAAGAGGAGAACGGAAGGGGGAGATGGGGAGGGAGGGGACTTGTTTATCTCACTGTCTCCTTTGTGCAGTTCCACGTCTTTATGTTAATCTCAGCCTTAGCCAGGCCCAGAGAGGTTCCAGTGAGAAACTAGTGGTTTCTGTCCCAGAGGGACAAATGATCTAGGAAGTGAACCGCAGAGCTGGCAGGAAAAGCTGGGGTTCTCCTCAAAAAGACACAGCACCCGGCTCCCGGGGAGCAATGAACAGGACATCGGCTTTGGCATTGATGCAGTAGGTGATGATGAGAGAGAAGACGAGGACGCCGAAGCCTACCGTCAGGGTGACGAACTGCAGGGGGAAGAGAGGTGCTCTCAGATTATCTCAGTGCAGTGTGGGTAATTGCCTGGGGGTGGGAGCCAGGATGTCGGATATTCTGGAGCTGTCTCAAAGTACCAAGTATTGAACGATCATAGACAATATCTCCCAATCTCGACTCAGTCTCCCCATTTGAAAAGTACAGTACCTCTGTTCTTGCTTCAATCCTGTATTACTTAAATTTTAAGTAATCTTAGCATCCTGAAGGCAAGACCCACTAATTTTGATTCTCTTGTGGCAATTACATTACTGACTTACATGTGACAAGTGCTCGATAAACACTGGGCTGACTCATCCCAGCTATGCCAGGTGGTACTGCCAGTGGGAGTGGAGCTGTGGAAGGGCTACCTGGGGACCAGAGGGTAAAGAGTATCTCCATGGTCCTCTATGGGAGCATATCCCCAGAATGAACACAGTCTCAGCCTATCAGTGAAGACGAGCTTCCTAATGGGGGTATATTGGCTGACAACAGACAGACCTATAGTAGGTTCTTGTGGCAAACCTGGGGCAAATGGAGGTGGAAGGGTGTATGAGACAAGAGGAAACAGAAAGAGATCAAATAGATCTCTGCCACTACTCCTCCCCCGTCTCACCTCAAGCTCCTTGCTGGCTATCAGAAATATCCGGGCGCTGATGTCTTTCCAGCGGCTCTCAGTCCACGTAGAGTACTCAGTAGAGCCCCACTGCCCAAGTTCGAAGGCAGGGGACAAGGCCCTGGCCAGTCGTGCCGTGGAGCGCACACATCGGGGAAGCCGGTCTGTCTGGTTGGAGTTCATAGGGCCCTGAACCCATGTGTACTCATACAGCTGCACAAGAAAACAGGCCAGAGTACAGCTAAAGTGACCCTTTCTCACTCACTCCCTTTACCCTTCAGATGGTCCCTTTCACCCAGGTTACTGCCTCTTTAACACTCAAGTTCAGAGGGCTACATCCCTCCACCTCTCCATCTCAAGCCCTTGGGTCCAACTGGGCCTAGAAGATCCTCCAATTTTCCCAAGAGAAAGGGACCCTTGGGGCACCTCCAAAACCCACTACCACTCACATCCTTGTTTTCATTGGGGACTTTACTTGGATCTTGGCACTGCTCTCGGGTAAGGTCTGTCACCTCGCCAGTCAAATTTGCCAAAGCACACTGGACAATGTAAGTGGTGTTGGTAGGGCTGGAGACAGCGATGTAATGCTGAAGAGGTCCGTCACCTGATTGAAGACAACAGAGAAGGATTTGGTCGGTGGAAAGTGCAGCGTAAATGGGCAGAGATAGGAAGAGCCTAGACTAGCCAAAGCCAGAGAAGAGAAAGTTAAGAGAAAAAGATCCAACAAATATCAAGGGAAAGAAAGGGAAACGGGGGAAAAATAGAGGAAAAAGAAAAAAAAATGAAAACTAAACCAAAATGATGACTTTTTCTCTACGCGTTTTGTTGCTTAAGGGCCCCACGCCCACCAGGTGCTCACCCAAGAAGGACCTGAGGTCCTGCCTGAGGAATGACTGGAACCATGAGTTGTTGGCTCTGACCAGGAAGCCATAAAGCAGGCGGGTAACCTAGGATTGGAACAGTGAGAAGAAAGAACCTCGTGACTTGGAGCCCAGGGACAGAGTTATTAGTGGAGACTCAACCATGGGGTAGCAACCTGAGTGGCCAGATAAGACTCTCAGGTGGGGGTCAGTGGCTGGCTCACGAGATGCAGATGAAGCCCGGCCGAGAGCTCTCTGGGGTGTCGGGTATCCTCACAGGGACATGCAGGCATGCTGAATTCCAAGGTTTAGGAGACAGGCAAGGGACATAAAGGATAGGGTGGCCTGTTGAGAAAGGAGCCAGGGCCCATTTGCTCTTACTGTTTGGGGATCAGCCTGAATGTTGTCACTGAACTTGGTTCCTCCTGCAAGCTGGTATAGTGCACGTCCCAGTACCGTGGCCACATCTGCCAGGGCCTGTGGTGGGCGAGGATGCGGGACTGAATGGCCCACTTTTTCTAACCCCAAACAGTAACATTCCAACCATCTTCACTGTGTTCCCCGTGCTCCCACCCAGCCCAGGGCAGTGCTACCTTGGCAGTGTCCGTCACAAAGTTCAGGTCCTCTTCAGGGCTCTGCCATTCGGGGTAGCTCACATTAATGTTCTCAGCAGTGTCATAAATACTCTGGTAATAGCTGCCAGGAAAGCCAGCATGAGCTTTGGCTACACTCAGCCCTACCCTTTTCCTCCCTCAAATGCCCATTACGCAGCAACTTGGTATCTCATTTTTTATCACCCAGGAAGAAGGGAAGAGAGATTAGGATCCCATATTGAAGAAGGTGTGAAGAATGCAGAGGTAGGAGTCAGAGTGGGAGTGGTTAGACTTTTCTGACAGACAAGGTAGAAAGGGTGAATGAGGTCAGAATGTAGGAATCTCCTCCCTAGGATATCTTTAAACACTAGAGATGCTTCTATATTGTTTGGGCTGCAGATATAGGAGGACTGCTAAGATGACTTTTCAGAGAAGCCTGCCACACATTATCAGAGCAATTGTCTGACTCTTTCAGTGAATGTTTATATTAAGGATGGCTGGGAATGGAGAGAAATTAGCACATCTGTTCACGGATATGTAGTACTACACTGGGTCAAATTACCCTGACCTACTTGGGGAGCCCCATGGAGAGAGATCTTAGAAGCAGGGCTAAGAGGAGTGAGCTCTCAGCCTTTACCATTGATAAATGCCACGCCCCCCACGACACACACAAAATCAAGTCAGCCACATAAGTCCACAGTATGTTCAAATGATGAACCAGCCCTCACCCCAAAGTGGTGCAGATGACAAACTAGGGGAAGATAGCTGACTCTATGCATTAGAACTGTCCAAAATAAATGAGAAATTGTTATTTGCCTGGGGCCAGAGAACCAGAGCTTAAGCATTTTCACTCAGAAACTCCTTTGGCCTGTTGGAAGAGGGAAAGGGAGGCTGGGGGCTTTAGCAGTCCAGCCGGAGTAAAAAGTCCCATCAGCCCAGGGTTCAAGTTCGGAACAATTTAGGGGTGCCTAGGACCAGGAGAGAGGTGACTAACAGGCCTTACCCCTTATTTCTGGAGCTCCCTCAACTGTAGGGAACACTATACCCTCACACTGAACCACATGCACTTACCACTTGGCAAGAACATGCAACATTTCAGAATATTGTCTGTGGCACCCTCAGGTGGGCCCTAAACAGGGACAGTTCTCTGTCCTACTCCTTAAGAACCCCATCATCATTCCAATACTTTTGTTTGAGATGATGCCCTCTGCCGGCAGCCCTGGAGAATTCAGGCTGCTGGGGAGCTTGGGAGAGGTGGAACCACAGGCAAGAATGACTGTGCAGGAAAGGGCTACGGTGAGGATTGTTTTCTAAGATGAGTATAAGTCAAATGAGGGGATCGGCTTAGCTGTAGAGAGGCCACTGACTAAAGAACACAAAATTGACCTGAGGTTTTTGAGAGGGTAATATGGGGAAAGGAGAGTGATCTTTCTTGACACAGCAGACATTTCTCTCTATGGATCCCCAACTGCAGAGCAGATTCTCTCCAAGAAGGAAGAGGATGCAGGCTAGGTAACTCTTACCGGTTATGGAAGACAGTAGGGTGGTCAGCAAGAACAACACCAGAGATGTTTCGAGCTCGAAGAAATCGCTGCAGAGAAGATGGTGGGAGAGGCTGGGACTGGTTCAGCCTCCGGAGGATGACAGCAGGGACACCAGCACCACTCTCCTCCAGTGTGGTCAGGAGATGCTCCACCTGGGGGGCGGTGAGGAGGATCAACTTATGGGGAATGGCAAGCAGGAGGTCTCTTTTAGGTCTAAAATGCTCTCTACTTCCAGTTCCCAGCTTGAGGAGTTACCTGAAACCATTCTAGATCTAAATTCCTCAAGCGCTTTGGGATCGAGTCCTCTGAATTTCCTGCAGCACCCACCATTCTTTTTAAATTATGACACAAAGAAGAAAGAAGCCTGTGTTTTTCACATAGGTAAACCTCACTATCTTCAGGACTGTTTTATC